TTCAGCTCGAAGAATTTTTAAATTTCCATTTTGGTTTCATTTTTGACCCAATGCTCATTCAGGAGCATGTTATTTAATTTCCATGTATTTGCATGATTTTTAAAGTTTCTTTTGGAGTTGATTTCCAGTTTTATTCCACTGTGGTCCAAAAGAGTACTTGATATAATTTATATTTCCTTAAGTTTATTGAGGCTTGTTTTGTGGCCTGTCATATGATCTATCTTAGAGAAAGTTCCATGCACTCTTGAATAGGATGTATATTCCGTGGTTCTTGGACAGAATGTTCTGGTTATATATCTGTTAAGTCCATTTGTTCCAGGATATAGGTTAAATCCATTGGTTCTGTGTTGACTTTCTGTCTTGATGACCTGTCTAGTGCTGTTAGTAGAGTATTGAATTCTCCTACTATTGTTGTGTTGCTGTCTATCTTATTTCTTAGGTCTATTAGTAATTGTTTTAATAAATTTGGGAGTTCTAGTGTTAGGTACATATATGTTTAGGATTGTGATATTTTCCTGCTGGACAAGGCCTTTTATCATTATATAATGTTCCCGTTTGTCTTTTTAAAAGCACTTATTTATCATAATTTAACTTCTGGGGTACATATGCAGGTCATGCAGGTTTGTTTCATAGGTATGCGTATGCCATGGTGGTGGTTTGCTGTGTCTATTGCCTCGTCATCTATGTTAGGTATTTCTCCTAATGCTATCCCTCCACAGTCTCCCCACCCCCTGCTATTCCTCCCCTAGTCCCCCAACCCCTGGGCCCCAGTGTGCGATGTTTCCCTCCCTATGTCCGTGGGTTGCAGTGTTTGGTTTTCTGTTCTTGTGTCAGTTTGCTGAGAATTATGGTTTCCAATTTCATCCATGTCCCTGCAAAGGATATGAACTCATCCTTTTTTTTATGGCTGCATAGTATTCCATGGTGTATATGTGCCATATTTTCTTTTTTTCTTTTTTTCCCCCCATTTATTTATTTTATTGCATTTTAGGTTTTGGGGTACATGTGAAAAACATGCAAAATTGTTGCACAGGTACACACGTGGCAGTGTGATTTGCTGCCTTCCTCCCCATCACCTACATCTGGCATTTCTCCCCTTGCTATCTCTCCCCTGCTTCCCACCCCCCACCGTCCCTCCCCTATTTCCCCCCAACTGACCCCAGTGTGTAGTACTTCCCTCTGTGTGTCCATGTGTTCTCATTGTTCAACACCCGCCTATGAGTGAGAACATGCGGTGTTTGATCTTCTGCTCTCCTGTCAGTTTGCTGAGAATGATGGTTTCCAGGTTCATTCATGTCCCTACAAAGGACCCAAACTCATCGTTTTTGATGGCTGCATAATATTCCATGGTGTATATGTGCCACATTTTCCCTATCCAGTCTGTCGTCGATGGGCATTTGGGTTGGCTCCAGGTCTTTGCTATTGTAAACAGTGCTGCAATGAACATTTGTGTGCACGTGTCCTTATAGTAGAACGATTTGTAATCCTTTGGATATATACCCAGTAATGGGATTGCTGGGTCAAATGGAATTTCTATTTCTAGGTCCTTGAGGAATCGCCACACTGTCTTCCACAATGGTTGAACTAATTTACACTCCCACCAACAGTGTAAAAGTGTTCCTATTTCTCCACATCCTCTCCAGCATCTGTTGTCTCCAGATTTTTTAATGATCGCCATTCTAACTGGCGTGAGATGGTATCTCAATGTAGTTTTGATTTGCATTTCTCTGATGACCAGTGATGATGAGCATTTTTTCATATGTTTGTTGGCCTCATGTATATCTTCTTTTGTAAAGTGTCTGTTCATATCCTTTGCCCACTTTTGAATGGGCTTGTTAGTTTTTTTCTTGTAAATCTGTTTTAGTTCTTTGTAAATTCTGGATATCAGCCCTTTGTCAGATGGGTAAACTGCAAAAATTTTTTCCCATTCTGTTGGTTGCCGATTCACTCTAATGACTGTTTCTTTTGCTGTGCAGAAGCTATGGAGTTTGATTAGGTCCCATTTGTCTATTTTGGCTTTTGTTGTCAATGCTTTTGGTGTTTTGGTCATGAAGTCCTTGCCTACACCTATGTCCTGAATGGTTTTGCCTAGATTTTCTTCTAGGGTTTTTATGGTGTTAGGTCTTATGTTTAAGTCTTTAATCCATCTGGAGTTAATTTTAGTGTAAGGTGTCAGGAAGGGGTCCAGTTTCTGCTTTCTGCACATGTATGTGCCACATTTTCTTTATCCAGTCTATCATTGATGGGCATTTGGGTTGGTTCCAAGTCTTTGCTATTGCGAACAGTACTGCAATAAACATACATGTGCATGTGTCTTTATAATAGAACGATTTATAATCTTTTGGGTATATACCCAGTAATGCGATTGCATTACCTGGTGCTTTTGTCTCACAGCTCTTAAGATATTTTCCTTTGTCTTAACTTTAGATAACCTGATGACAATGTGCCTAGGTGATGATCTTTTTGTGATGAATTTCCCAAGTTTTCTTTTTGCTTCTTGTATTTGGATGTCGAGGTCTCTAGCAAGGCCAAGGAAGTTTTCCTCAATTATTACTCCAAATATGTTTTCCAAACTTTTAGATTTCTCTTCTTCCTAAGGAACACCAATTATTCTTAGGCTTGGTCATTTAACATAATGTCAGACTTCTTGGAGGCTTTGTTCATATCTTCTTATTCTTTTTTCTTTGTCTTTGTTGGATTGGGTTAATTCGAATATCTTGTCTTTGAGCTCTGGATTTCTTTCTTGTACTTGTTCAATTCTATTGGTGAGACTTTCCAGAGCATTTTGCATTTCTGTAGGTGTGTCCATTGTTTCCTGAAAGTTTGATTGTTTTTATTTATGTTATCTATTTCCTTGAATATTTCTTCCTTCACTTCTTGTATCATTTTTTGGATTTCCCTACATTGGGTTTCACCTTTCTCTGGTGCCTTTATGATTAGTTTAATAACTAACTTCCTGAATTCTTTTTTAGGTAAATCAGAGATTACTTCTTGGTTTGGGTCCATTGCTGGTGAGCTAGTGTGATTTTTTGGGAGGGTGTTAAAGAACATGGCTTTGTGATATTACCAGATGTGGTTTTCTGGTTCCTTCTCATTTGGGTAGCCTCTGTCAGAAGGAAGGTCTAGGACCCAAGGCTATTGTTCAGATTATTTTGTTCCACAGGGTATTCCATTGATGTAGTACTCTTCCCCTTTCCTATGGTTGTGGCTTCTTGAGAGCCAAGCTGTCGTGATTGTTATCTTTCTTCTGGATCTAGCCACCTAGCAAGTCTACCAGGCTCTTAGCCAGTACTGGGGGTTGTCTGCACAGAGTCCTGTGATGTGAACTGTCTGTGGGTCTCTCAGCTGTGGATACCAGCACAGTATTTGGGGTGTCTCCTGGGTCCTGCAGGAGCAATCTGCTTACTTCAGGGGGTTTGTGGGTCCTCTCCTCAGCATGTTTTCATTTGCTTATTTGTCATTCACACTCCTTCTCAGGCAAAGAATTCTTAGATATGACTATAAAAGAAAAATATTGATAGATTCATCTATTAAAACTTGTGTATGCTTTGTGAAGTTCTTGTGCTGTGTTTCTCAGCTCTGTCAAGTCGCTTATGTTCTTCTCTAAGCTGTTTATTCTTGTTAGCATTTCGTCAAACATTTTTTCAATGTTCTTAGTTTCTTTGCATTGGGTTAGAACACGTTCCTTTAGCTCAGAGAAGTTTGTGATTGTCCACCTTCTGAATTGAAGCCTGATTCTGTCAATTTGCTAAACTCATTCTCCATCCAGTTTTGTTCCCTTGCTGGTGAGGAGTTGTGATCTCTTGGAGGAGGAGGGGCATTCTGGTTTTTGGTGTTTTCATCCTTTTTGAGCTGGTTTATTCCCATCTTTGTGGATTTATCTACCTTTGGTCTTTGAAATTGGTGACTTTTGGATGGGGTCTCTGAATGTTCATGCTTTTTGTTGATGTTGAGGCTATTTCTTTCTGGTTTTTAGTTTTCCTTCTAACAGCCAGGCTCCTTTGCTGCAGGACTGCTAGAGGTCCACTCCAGACCCTGCTTGCCTGGGAATCACCCAGGAGGGCTGCAGAACAGCAAGAATTGCTGCCTGTTCCTTCCTCTGGTAGTTTCATCCCAGAACAGTACCTGTCAGATGTCAGCCAAAGCTCTCCTGTATGAGGTGATTCTTTGGATAAACAGAGGCCAGGGAGCCACTTGAGGAGGCAGTCTGTCCCTTGTCAGAGCTCAAGTGCTGTGCTGGGAGCTCCGTTGCTCCCTTCAGAGCTGCTGAGCAGGGATGTTTAAATCTGCTGCAGTGGAACGCATAACCGCTCTTTTTCCCAGATGCTTTGTCTTGGGAAGATGTGGCTTTATTTATAAGCCCCTGACAGACTGCTGCCTTTTTTCATAGATGTGCTGCCCAGCAAGGAGGGAGCCTAGTCACAGTCTACATGCAGAGGTGTTGTTGAGCTGCCAAAGGTTCCTCCTAGCTGCTGTGTAAACTTCTTTGTGCTTTTGTTTACACAGGAAAGGTTAGAGCTGCCTTGGTAATGGCAGATGCCCCTCCCCTTACAGAGCTCTACTGTCCAGGGTCAAGCTCAAACTGCTGTGCTGGCTGTGAAAATCCCACGCCAGTGGGATTCAATTTGCTGGTCTCTATAGGGGTGATCACCTGGCTCCCCACCTTCAGCCCCCTTTCTCTTGGGGGCATGGGGGATTCTGTCTCACAGGCATTCCCGGTGCCAGTCAAAATGGCTGCTTAGATTTGTGCTGGGAACTTGGGGCGCTGGCTGAATCAGCTGCCCAGATTTTCCCTGGAAACCTGTGGTGCCTGTAGTTATGTGGGGATCTCCCGGACTGTGGGCTGCAAAGACCATGGGAAAAGCACAGCATCGGAACCAGAGCTCCTGAGTGGCCAGAAACATACCCGATGGCCTCCACTGGGTAGGAGGGAGTGCCCTCTATCCCGTTGCACTTCCCAGGTGAGGCAGTGCCCCACCCTGCCTCGGTTTGCCCTTGGTCTACACTCACTGTCCAACCAGTCCCATTGAGATGAACCTGGTACCTCAGTTGGAAACGCGGAGATCATTCACCTTCTGTGTTGCTCTCTCTGGGAACTGTGCTCTGGAGCTGTTCCTATTCAGCCGTCTTGGCAGAAGTCCCCCAAGAAAAATATATGTGTTTAGGGAGGAAACAAGTGAGAAAGTAATGGCAGAAGGAGTAGAAGATAAAGAATTTGAGAGCCTGGATGTCATGAAGAGTTTCAATGCAAGTTCAGTGGGAAGGAGGGTGAGGCGAGGAGAAAAGTTGAATTTAAAGGAACTAGTTTGTTGTTCAGGATTTTAGAGAAACAGTGATTTGTGTTGAGGAAGTCTAATTACAAACTCACATTTCCTTCATGGCTAACTCACAGGTTTACCCCCTTTAAAATATCTTCAGATCAAGCTCTGGCTTGTTCCCTTTTTCAGAATGGTGTTTATGTTTGAGTGCACGTTGACTTAGCATCCAGTGATTTAAGGTATGTTTATTTCAGCTAGGGGTGATGGCTGACCCCTGTAATCCCAGCACTTTGAGAGCCTGAGGCAAGTGGAGCAGAAATTCGACACCAGCCTGGCCAACATGGCGAAGCTCCATCTCTACTAAAAATGCAAAATTAGCTAGGTGTTGTGGTACATGCCTGTAATCCCAGATACTCAGGAGGCTGAGGCAGGAGAATCACTTGAAACTGGGATGTGGAGGTTGCAGTGAGCTGAGGTCACACCATTGCACTCCAGCCTGGGTGACAGAGCAAGACTCCATCTCAGAAAAAAGGGTTTTTTTTTTTCATCTCTCCAAGTAGATTTATGGATTATATATTCTATTTAAAATATGATAGACTACTCCTGAAATTTGATTCAGAAAACTGATTTAGAAGCCATCTAGTCCAATATCCTCCTCTGTAGTGACTACTGAAAATGGTGTCTCTCCCAAGCTTGGATGTCTTTTTGATTTTAAAAGCCTCCATCTGTGATTTTCTTTAGAGGAAATGCCTTGGGCTACTGGAGTCCCTTTGTCCAGACACAGAGAGCTAGAAGTGCCTGGGAGCTTAGTGTTACCATCCCCAGCCCTGTCCTTGTACCAACCAATGACTGACAGGTGTGAGTATGAAAGCACAACTCCTTTGATTCAAGTTGGGACAGTGTTAAGGCTAGACTTTATATGTGTGATCCAGAGCACTCTTAGTTAGGCTCAGGCTGGGACTTCAGCTGAAATCACACCCTTGTTTGGCTTTCTCTCTCCCTTACCCATACTCTCTCTGGTCTTTCCTTACTTAATAAACCAGTTGCACATGAATCCTCATCTTAAGGTTCATTGAGAGCACTGACCTACAACATCCTCATTTTATTATGGGGAAACTGAGGCCTACTGTTGTTCACCCATTTGTCTAGTCAGCCAGAGCCTAATTTTCCATCCAGATTTCTTGATTCCATTTGTATTCTCTTTTAACTTCTCCTTAGTAGTTCTACATATTCAATAGACATAGAATAATTGTCTATTGAGTTGGTGAATAAATGATGAAAGCACAGGTATTTTACTTGATACTAAAGGAGGCATGGCTTTAAGATGTAATTCTTACTCTCCAGAAGCTTAAAAACAAGACAAGGGATATGACTAATATTTATTAAATCGAATAAGAAGGCAAGTTGCTATTAGATCTAGAAGAACAAGGGACAGATGGAGAATGCATGATTAGAGAAGGCAGAGGGAGAGAGAGAGTCAGAGAGAGTCAGCTTCAAAAATAGTGTAGCATCTGCATTGTGGCGGAGAATGGTTAAGTTTAAACAAAATTTGTTTCAGAGTTGTTGGCATTTTAAAACCTGATATAGTTTTGTGTCCTAATATTTTATCCCATCTTTGGGAACATTTCCATATTATCATGAGTTGGACTTTAAAATCACTCTTTATTAGATACCCAGAATTTAATGGCATATAGATATGTTGAATATATTTAATGATGCTCTTATTTTTGAATACTTAGATTTCTTTAAATTTCTGATAATGGAATGACACTGCGTTGAAGATCTTTGTAGATAAATATTAGCTTGCATTCTGAGATTATATATGGAGAGTAAATTACTAGAAATACAATTATTGGGTTAGAGTGTAGAAAGTTTTTTGAGCATTTCTGAGACATGCCAAACTGCTTTCCAGAAAAGATTTACTATGCTAGTACTTCACTTCTCAATGGCACATGGCTGTGGCTTCTCCAGAAATTCCAGTCATTTGTTTATTTATTTAAGTCATTAAATATTTATTGAGCTCTGTCTACATGGAAAACTACATGCTAAATTGTTCTACATTATTATGTTCTACCTGATAATGTAGAATCTTCATTGAGTTTTCCTTGTCTACTCTACCTTTTTTTCTTCCACTTACAATATTTATAGCCCAGAATTGAGCATAAAGTAGATGCTCAATATGTGCTTGTTCATTGACTGAAATGTGAACAATTGTCAAATTTTGCTACTTCTGTGTCTTACCAGACCACAAACCCACTGGTTTGCTTTTTCAATTATTTTCTAGGATCAGGCCAGAAATTACTTCATTATTTGTTGTCCTTTTATCATTGTTTATTCTGTTCTTGTTCAAGGTTGCAGTATCTTCTCTTATCCCTCTGAGGATATTAATGACAATTTTGAGGATTTTTTTCTTTTTCACCTTCATACTTTCTGTTTCTCCCAGCAACTTTTTTCCTGTTTGTTTTGATTTTTATCTTTAATATTAAGACAACATAAACACTTAATTTTTCTTGCCTAATTACATTCAAGGATGGGCATACATAATAATAACAGTTAACAACTATATGAAGCTTACTCCATGCCAAGCTCTGTTCTAAGAGGTTTATATTTAATTCTCACAATAACCCCATAAAACAGGTTCTTTTATTATTTCCATTTTGTAGATTAAGTAGAAAGGTTAATAACTTGCCAAAGGCTTCATGTCTAATACATAGAAGAGCTGGCATTGCACCTGAGAGGGTTTGGATCCATAGTCTGTGCATATTACCACCATGCAATAGCATCTGCTTACAAACTTTATGCAGAGTGGTTGCAGGTCAGGCTGGTACTTGATGTATTTTTATCTTGGTTTGATTAGGCTCTCCTGTGCATATCCTGCCTAGCAGCCTGGGTTCTGGGATCTAAAGGGGAAAGAAGGCTGAATGTCTTAACATTCAGCACACAAATTTTCCCTTAATCCATTCCTCCTGATTTCACTACAATGCTTGCCTTTGGTTGGCTTCAGTTGGCTGTTCAGAGGCCTGCAAATATACCCTCACGAGAAGACAGGTCTCTGATCTTTTGAAGAGGTGGAAAGGGGTCAGTGGACTGAAGGTGCTGAGTAGAGGAGGATATCTGGGAATGTAACTCCATTTTTTAAAGTAGTTTTATGGAGATATACCAGTTTCAAAAGTAAAACTCAATGGTTTCTAGCATATTCAAAGAATTGCACAAACATTACCACAATCAATTTTAGAACCTTTTGTTCCCCCCAAACAAAATCCTGTATCTGTTAGCAGACACTGCCCATATTTGTGGGAATTGACGTAATTCTTTGCTTTCTAATACTGTTCTATTTTGCTTGTTTTTTAGAAAAATGATAAACACAGGTCAATTTTGTAAAAACGGTAAAATCATTATGTAAAAAGCCCAATGTCTTAAAAATTAAAGGAGTCAGATGTCTCAAAGAGAGCATGAATACTAACATCAAATAGAATAGAGAAGTTGAAGGGGACAAAGACTGAAAGCGATTATTATTCCTCCAGTTGAAGGCACTGCATTCTTATTTTCATTTGGCAACTTTAATTTTGAACTCAGAGGGTGATGTGGTTTGGCTCTGTGCCCCCACCTGAATCTTACCTTGAATTGTAATCCTCATAATCCCCAAGTGGCAAGGTGGAACCAGGTGGAAGTAATTGAATCAAAGGTATGTTTTCTCCCATGCTGTTCTTGTGATAATGAGTGAGACTCACATGATCTGATGGTTTTATAAGCATCTGGCATTTCCCTTGTTTGTACTCATTCTCTCTCCTGCCACACTGTTAAGAGGTGCCTTCTATCATTATTGTAAGTTCCCTGAGGCTTCCCTAGCCATGTGAAACTGTGAGTCAATTAAACATCTTTTCTTTATAAATTACCCAGTCTTGGGTAGTTCTTCATAGTAGCATGAGAACAGACTAATACAGCAAATTGGTACCCAGAGTGTGGCACTGCCATAAAGATACCCAAAAATGTGGAAGCAACTTTGGAACTACGTAAAAAGCAGAGGTTGAAGCAGTTTGGTGGGCTCAGAAGACAGGAAAATGTGGGAAAGTTTGGAACTTCCTAGAAACTTGTTGAATAGCTTTGACCAAAATGCTGATAGTGATAAGGACAATGAAGTCCAGGCTGAGGTCACCTCAGATGGAGATGAGGACCTTGTTGGGAACTGGGGTAGAGGTCACACTTGCTATGTTTTAGCAAAGAGACTGATGGCATTTTGCCCCTGCCCTAGAGATCCGGGGAAGTTTGAACTTGAGAGAGTGATTTAGGGTATCTGGCAGAAGAAATTTCTAAGTGGCAAAGTGTTCAAGAGGAAGCAGACCATAAAAGTTTGGAAATTTTGTAGGCTGACAATGTGATAAAAAAGAAAAATCAATTTTCTGGGGAGGAATTCAAGCCAGCTGTATACATTTGCATAAGTAACGAGGAGCTAAATGTTAATCACCAAAGCAGTGGGGAAAATGTCTCCAGGGCATGTCAAGGACCTTCAAGGCAGCACCTACCATCACGAGCCCAGAGACCCAGGAGAAAAAAATGGTTTTGTGGGCCAGGCCCAGGCCACCCCTCCACCCCTGCTGTGTGCATCCTGGGGACTTGTTGCCCTGTGTCCCAGCCATTCCAACTATGGCTAAAAGGGGCTAAGGTACAGCTTGGGCCATGGCTTCAGAGGGTGCATGCCCCAAGCCTTGGCAGCTTCCCCATGGTGTTGAGCCTGTGGGTGCGTGGAAGTCAAGAATTGAGGTTTGGGAACCTCTGCCTACATTTCAGTGGATGTATGGAAACGCCTGGATGTCCAGGCAGAAGTTTGCTGCAGAGGAAAAGCCCTCATGGAGAACCTCTACTAGGGTAGTGCAGAAGGGAAATGTGGGATTAGAGCCTTCATATGGAGTCCCCACGGGAGTACTGCCTGGTGGAGCTGTGAGAAGAGGGCCTCCATCCTCCAGACCCAAAATGGTAGATCAAATGACAGCTTACATCATGTACCTGGAAAAGCCACAGGCAATCAATTCGAGCCTGTAAAGGCAGCTGGGAGCAGGGCTGTACCCTGCAAATCCACAGGGGCAAAGCTGCTCAAGGTTGTAGGAGCCCACCTCTTGTCTCAGCATAACCTGGATGTGAGACAAGGAGTCACAGGAGATCATTTTGAGGCTTTAAGGTTTAATGACTTCCCTGTTGGATTTCACACTTGCATGGGGCCTGTAGCCCCTTTGTTTTTGGCAATTTCTACCATTTGGAAAGGGCATATTTACCCAATGCCTGTACCTCCATTGTATCTAGGAAATAACTAACTTGCTTTTGATTTTACAGGCTAATAGGCAGAAGGGACATGCTTTGTCTCACATGAGACTTTGGACTTGGACTTTTGAGTTAATGGTGGAATTAGCTAAGACTTTGGGGGATTGTTGGGAAAGCATGATTGTGTTTTGAAATGTGAGGACATGAAATTTGAGAGGTGCTAGGAGTGGAATGATATGGTTTGACTGTGTCCCCACTCAAATCTCATCTTGAATTGTAGTTCTCATAATCCCCATGTGTTGTGGGAGGGACCTGGTAGGAGGTAAGTGAATCATGGGGGCAGTTACTCTATGCTGTTCTCATGATAGTGAGTGAGTTCTCATGAGATCTGATGGTTTTATAAGGGACTTTCCGCACTTTTGCTTTGCACTTCTCCGTGCTGCTATCATGTGAAGAAGGACATGTTGGCATCCCCTTCCGCCACGATTGTAAATCTCCTCAGGCCTACCCAGCCCTGTGGAACTGTGAGTCAATTAAACCTTTCTCCTTTATAAATTACTCAGTCTTGGGTATTTCTTCAAAACAGCATGAAAACGGACTAATACAAAGGGCATCAAATTTATAACATATTCCATGTCATGCTTAAAAAAATAATAAATAGGCCAGGCATGGTGGCTCATGCCTGTAATCCTAGCACTTTGGGAGGCTGAGGCTGGTGGATCACGAAGTCAGGAGTTCGAGACCATCCTGGCCAACATGGTGAAACCCTATCTCTACTAAAAATATAAATATTAGCTGGGCATGGTGGCGTGTGCCTGTAGTTCCGGCTTCTCGGGAGGCTGAGGCAGGAGAATCCCTCTGGGAGGTGGAGGTTGCTGTGAGCTGAGATCGCGCCACTGCACTGCAGCCTGGCAACAGAGTGAGACTCTGTCTCAAAAATCATACATACATACATACATACATACATAATTAGATACATGTTGATATCTCCAGAGACTCATGTGGATGAAAACTGTATTTTAAAAACGAAGCTATAATTTGGCCTAATTTCTCAGGATAACATAAAAGTCATAGAAAAATTTCTCACCTAAAACTCTTGGTGTTGTCGATATGACAAATGCCAGTATGAACATGCATGTGTTAAACATACTATGTCAATAGATAAATGTTACTTGAGAGGAGAAATCTATTACTACCCATTCAGGAAGCTTTCTGGATCCTAAGGGCAGGGTGAACTGGGGTTTAATAGGAGAATGAGCAGAGAGACATTTTATTAATCATATATTTTACCCTTTAAATTAAGCTATTGAGTAGGATCACAGCTCCCCAGTTCTGAGTCTTAGGCTTAGGAAGCAAAATAATCTTATTACCTCCCAGTGGAAAGTCAAAGGTAGAAATTCCTGTCTTGTACACAGCCTGAAATCCAAATCCTTGTATTGTTCACCATGAGTAAGAGCAAACCAACTTCTCTCCTCTTTACTTCCTTCCATTTTTTTCTTTGTTTTTTTTCATGTGAGCTTTGTCACCATCTTTTCTTACAATTATAATTCCAATTCCTCCACATGAGTTAAATAAGTTGTCATCCTATGACAGTGCAGAAAGGGAATGCAGGAAAACCAGAATCAACTTCACTTGGGATCTTTAAGCAATGCATATTGTCAGGCTGCACTCCAGACCTACTGAATCAAATCTCTGAGGCGGGGCTCCGGAACATGCATGTTTATTAGTTCTCCAGGTGAGAATCAGCAGTCTACAGGACATCATTTGGGTATCTGGTGAAAATCTTTTCCTGAATAACATTGGGAGAAAATTCCCCTGTGAGTCTCTTGCATTTTTGCATATTTTGTGAGCAGAGGCACTGATTAGCCTTTGTTCTGAATTCTTTCATAAGGTATGTATATGCCAAACATTTGAAGATAGAGATTGAGAGCCTCTTAAGAGAAAGGCATATATGTTTACTGTCCAGTATAATAACTTTACCCAATAGGGCAAAGGGCAGGCATGCTAGTTGCCCACTATAGAAGATTCAGGTTCCCGGCCGGGCGCGGTGGCTCAAGCCTGTAATCCCAGCACTTTGGGAGGCCGAGGCGGGCGGATCACGAGGTCAAGAGATCGAGACCATCCTGGTCAACATGGTGAAACCCCGTCTCTACTAAAACTACAAAAAATTAGCTGGGCATGGTGGCGTGTGCCTGTAATCCCAGCTACTCAGGAGGCTGAGGCAGGAGAATTGCCTGAACCCAGGAGGCGGAGGTTGCGGTGAGCCGAGATCGTGCCATTGCACTCCAGCCTGGGTAACATGAGTGAAACTCCGTCTCAAAAAAAAAAAAAAAAAAAAAAAAAAA